GTCAAAGGTATGGGAAAAGGATTGCAGACAAAGCATTCAAAGAGTTCTAAGATCCTTGCAATGTGGAAACATTCTAATTTTATTTTACCTTTAATAAGTCAAAAGATTATCTTATAAATTTTGACATGAATACTCAACTGAAAGTAAAACAATGAATAGCTAACAAGTTATCAGAAAGAAAAAAAAAACAAATCTGTAAGAATGGAGGAAAGGAGACAAATTATAAGACATATAATAAGATAATATGTTTTAACACAAATATATCAGTAATTAAAGTAATAAATAAGTTGAGCAACCAATTAAAAGAAGATGTAATAATGGATTTAAAAAGAAAGCAATAGTGTGCTGCTTATAACCATGACAACTTCCATATGACATTGAATAGGATAAAAAAGTTTACAAAATGAAATCATTAATCAAAATAGATCTTACTTAGTGATCTATAGAAATACACTGAATTAGCATATGGCAAATATTGAATAAAATAACAACTATTTTTTTTTCTTATAATATGTATGGTACACCTTGGGATTTTATTTTTGGGTTTTTCTCTTTCACACTTTAAATGTTCAAAATTGCTTACAGTGCTTATTTCAAATTTTATTATTATTACTAGAGGCCCGGTGAACAAAAATTTGTGCACTCGGGAGGTCCTTCAGCCTGGCCTATGCCCTCTTGCAGTCTGGGACCCCTCGGAGAATGTCTACCTGCTGACTTAGGCCCGCTCCCTGGGGAATCGGGCCCAAGCTGGCAGTCAGACATCCCTCTGGCAGCCCAGCAGCCTTTGGGGGATGTCCACTTACCAGCAGGGAGCAGACCTAAGCTGCAGTCAGACATCCTTAGCGCTGCTGAGGAGGCGGGAGAGGCTCCCACCACCACCGCTGTGCTGGCAGCCATCAGCCTGGCTTGTGGCTGAGCAGAGCTACCTCTGTGGGAGCACACTGACCACCAGGGGACAGCTCCTGCATTGAGCGTCTGCCCCCTGGTGGTCAGTGTGTGTCATAGTGACCAGTCACTCCCAGTCGTTCTGCTGTTAGGGTCAATTTGCATATAACCCTTTTATTATATAGGATAGAGGCCTGGTGCACGGGTGGGGGCCAGCTGGTTTGCCCTGAAGGGTGTCCCAGATCAGGGTGGGGGTCCCGCTGGGGTGCCTGGCCAGCCTGGATGAGGGGATGATGGCTGTTTGCAGCTGGTCACACCCCATTCAGGGTGAGGGTCCCCACTGGGGTGCCTGGCCAGGTTGGGTGAGGGGCTGAGGTCTGTTTTCAGGCTGGCCAAGCCCCCTGGAGATGGAAGCTCCCAGCCTCTCCTTTTTTTCTTTTATTTTTATTCTGGGATTTATTTACCTTCTATAATTGAAACTTTGTTGCCTTGAGTGGAGCTCAGAGCCAGCCGTGGCAGGCGGGAAGCTTGGCTTCCTCCATCACTGGGGCAATCAAGCCTCCTGCTCACTCCAGCTCTGTGGCTGCCGGCCACCATCTTAGTTGGGTTAATTTGCATATAGTCGCTCTGATTGGCTGGTGGGCATGGCTTAAGGCATAGTGAAGGTGTGATCAATTTGCATGTTTGTCATTTATTAGTGTAGATAATTGACTGGAGGCCTGGTGTACAAAATTCATGCACTGGGGGCGGAGGGTCCCTCAGCCCAACCTGTGCTCTCTCGCAGTCTGGGACTACTCGAGGGATGTCTGACTGCTGGCTTAGGCCTGCTCCCGGTGTCAGGCCAGCAGTTGGACATCCCTCTCACAGTCTGGGACCCCTCGCTCCTTACCATCCGCCTGCTTGCTGCTCCTTACCACTTGGCTCACTCACTGCTCCTTAGCGCTGCTGCGGAGGCAGGAGAGGCTCCCACCACCACTGCTGCACTTGCCAGTTGTAAGCCCGGCTACTTGCTGAGCGGCAGTTCCCCTGTGGGAGTACACATCATAGCGACTGGTTGTTCTACCATAATGGTCGCTTAGGTTTTATTATATAGATTTTAGAGAGAAGAAGGGAGAAGAGGGGAGAGAGAAACATAAGTGTGAGAGAGAAACATGGATAGGCTGCCTCCTGCATCTCCCCTATCGAGGATCTAGCCAGATACCTGGGCATGTGCCCTGACTGGGAATCAAACCAGTAACCTCTTGGTGCACAGGATAATGCTGAACCTATTGAGGCACACCAGACAGGGGTTCACATTGCTTATTTTAGAATTTTCATCTTTCAGAATTATCTGACATTGATGATATAGCTGACATAGTTTTTTTTAGGTTTCTGCATTATAATGCTTCATAAAAACCCCCAAATCTCAATGGTTTATAGCAACAGGTGTTTATTTTTACTAATAGGTACTTATTGGATTTAAGAGTGCCCCATGATTCACTCATTCAGAGATTTGCAACAACCTGGGTTTGCTTTTTTTAAAGATAGATGTAGGAAGACAAGAGCTAAGCTAAAGCACAAAATTAAAGCTACAAAAGTACATTTTATGCAGAATCAATATACAACTGATGATTTCCTACAAAGATCTATATGATTTAAAGAGGGAATGTTGTGTCACCTTTCTATAATTTATTTCTTTGTATTTGAGTAATGTTTAAATTTAACGGTTGCCTTCAGAACATGGTGGATATAAAACTAGATCTCAGTTAACTGTAGATTTTTACAGCCCCTTTCGTCTATATTTACCTACTTCTGAGATTATTCTATTAGGTTATCTTAGACTCCTAGCTTCATGAGGACAGGAACTGGGTGAGCTTCATGCATGACTGCATTTCTAATGACTGACATTGAGTCCGGGGCTCAGTAAATATTTATCAGGTGATTAAATTTGGGTGCTTATGTCAGCATAAATTTAAAAATCCTGAAATTGCATATTCAATATTCTTGGATGTTAAATACATTTTTAAAATTCATGGAATTTGCATGGTAAGGCTGTTGCATTTATATCTTTCTTATGTATTTTCATTTTGTAAGTATTTTTATATATTTAAAATTTTTTACTATATGCATTCTTGTTGCAGCTGTCAGTAATGGGGTGGTAAGGTCTCTGGTTGACCAATCAGAATACTACTGACATTGACAATTTAATCACAGAAAACTGACCAGGACAAGAACAAAATACATTTTTAACACATATAATCATCCTATATAATAAAAGACTAATATGCAAATTGTCCCTCGGGAGTTCGAGGGACTGGAGTTCGACCTCTCGCTATGATGTATGCTGACCAACAGGGGGTGGTGCAGAACATAGGAAGGCCCCAGCTGGCAGCCAGCAGCCAGGGGAAAGAAGGCCTCGATTGGCCCTCATTGCCAGCCAGACCTAGGCACCCTACCAAGCATGAATTTCATGCACCGGGCCTCTAGTAATCCTATATAATAAAAGGTTAATATGCAAATTGTCCCCTCGACTGGGAGTTCGACCAGGGGGCAGGGAGGCCAGCCAACCACCAGCAGCCCCTCCCCTTGGCCAGCCCCACCCGGGATCGGCCCCAATTGAAGCAGGCTGGCCGACCCCACCCATGCATGAATTCATGCACCGGGCCTCTAGTTTATACATAAATCCTCAAGTTGATTTTAAAAATAAAAACTAACAAAAAAGAGAAGAATTATAAAAATAAGGTCTATATACATGGAAACCTGAATTTCTAATAAACCTATAAACAAATTTTCAAATTGATTAGTAATCAGTAAAATGTCAACCTTAAAAATGAAATATCATTCCATATCAGATACACAAAAATGTAAAAGTCAGCCATAAGAAAGTTTTTGCAAGCTGTGGGGAAGCATGGGGATTGGTTGGAAAGTCTGTAAGGAGGATTCTCCGAAAAGTCAGGGGCCTCTAGGGGGACCTTGTCAAGGTGGCAGCCCCTGCCTTGACTTTTCCAAACAAGTCTGAGCCCCTGGGTGTTTTTCTGGAATTTCTATGTTTAGTCTTTAGACCCAGCCTTGTAGAAGCATGTGCTTTCTCAAGGATACTTACCCTGCTAATAGTATCTAGAGATTAATTTTAGTTCAAGCTGTTGCTACAATAGAAGCCTAAGGAGGCAGGCAAACAGGACCGTTCAGTTCCTTTAGCCAGGCAGTCCCTTAGCCCTCTCTTTCACAGAAATGTGTGTCAGAGTAATCCATTCATCTGCCACTCAGGGTCTGCTGGTCAGTCCCAGCAGTAAGCCTGTAGCAATGTGAATTTTCATATATTGATTAAAGCAGTGATTCCCAAAGTGGGTGCTACCGCCCCCCAGTGTGCGCTGCAGCGATCCAGGGGGGCGGTGATGGCCACAGGTGCATTTGGGGGCGATGAGTAACTGCTATTAAAATTTTAAAAAAAATTAATTTCCAGGGACCGAGTAATATTTTTTTTCTGGAAAGGGGGCGGTAGGCCAAATAAGTTTGGGAACCACTGGATTAAAGCATAAATATGTACAATCTAGGAGGCTTATCATCAAAATTTGGTGAAGGTGAATTTGTTCACATTTTTGATACAAGAAATCAAGATTTCTGATATACAAACTCTTTATTGTATCAATTTCTATAATAATAAAAACATGAAAACAACTTTAAAATGTAATATAAAATTATTCAAAGGAATAGGTTAAAGCTGAAACACACAAAAGTGTGAACAGAAATACGTAATATGATGAGATAAAGCAAATTGATCCTTGTTGGTTATTTATATCAAGTTGGAAACTATGAATAAGCTTGTATAAAAAAGCCATATTAAAAGTTTCATAAAACCATGCAGTTGAAATTGTGAACAGCTCTCACTTCTGAGTCCTGTGAGAGGTGAAAAACATCAGAGGAACACAAGGAGCTTACAGTCTCTACACTCTCATAGTTCAACAATCAGTAGCAAGTATGGTGAGGACCACAATTAAATAAAACTATGTTGGGTTGATCAGTATTACTGGTATACTCTTCATTCCAAATTTTGGATAAATTGTTAAAATGTAAAGAAAAATGTAAATGCTTATATAGCAGCTATGTGGTAGGAAAAGACTAGGGATGAGGATGGGATCTTGTTCAAAAGAATATCATTCTAAATAGAAGATTGTGCTTTTCTTCAGACACCTTGGTCAAATAGATGATGTATCAAAATACCATCACACACCCACAATCACTACCACCACTAGCACATTTTCAATAACTTTATGATAAAAGCCAAAGGAAGTCTGAAATGCATTATTAAGCAGAAATCCTCTAGCTGAAGTTTGCAGTACCCAGGTGTGGTGATTGTGTTACTGAGGATTTTATCTTCAGTTCATCTGTTGTGCCACCAACTGATTAGTTCATAGTTCCCTAAAAATGAGTGTCTTTCTCTGTGTGTGCTTTGCAATTTTTGCAGTTCATTTAATCTCTCACAAGGCTTCTATTATCCTCTATCAACTGAACTTTTATTTCTCTAATTGGCAATTTATAATTCATGTGTAAGTCTGAGCATCTTCTCTCCCCTACTCCAGTTTTCAAGAATTTAAAACTTAACTATTTTGTTTCCTTTTCCACAATAAAGATAATTTAATAATCTGTCAATACCTATATTTATTTATATTAACATAAATAACATTTAAATTATATGTATTCATGGTCAATCTATAATAATAAAAGCATAATATGCTAATTAGACTGGACATCCATCCAGACGACCTTCCGGACGAAGCCTGGGCTGAGAGGGAAGCTCAGGTCTCGGGTGTCAGAGGAAGCAGGTGTCAGCAGCCGGGAGAAGGAAGGCCTACTCATGCATGAATTCCGTGCATCGGGCCTCTAGTAATATAATAATAAACAGATTTTTATTTTTTACCAGTGAAGATTTGGAACTGTTACATTAGTTTTGTTTGTATTGGAGTGTTAAGTATAAAAAGATTTTCTTCAAATATCTTAGGTCAGTATTTAACAAAGATGGGTCATAATGTTCTAGAGATACATACTTTCATAGTCAGGTTTCTTAGACCCTGTCCTAGAGCATAGAAATAAGAACCTCCTACAAATGCATTTCCTTTGCTGCATTTTAAAGTAGCATCCTCAAAAATCTCTGGCCACACTAAAGTTTGAGACAATTGTCATGTTGTACATTTAAATTTTTATAATACCCTGTGTATTCTTTTCAAGTTATATTCACAGGCTTTTATTGATAATTATTTTTACTATTCTGCCACATCCACTGAGATATTCACATAATTTGCTATTACTGGGATTATAAACACATTTCTCTCAGCATTTTGAATAGATTATATTTTCAAGGAGATTGC